CATTGATTGACAGCACTTATGTAAATCGCACTTTGGAACAGACTTCCGTTGTCTAACCGTTACTTAACCAAAACTTAAATTAACTCAGTCGTTGGCGTTTTTCCTTGCGGTTTTTATTAGTTTAGATCTATTGTTATTAAGTAATTAAAGTATTATCATTAAATGATTTATGAAATAATGATTTGTTTACGGATATAATTCACTTCTAACAGATTTTACTTAAAACTCTGTATACATTATTTGTCTTAAAGAAACTTGCAAGGGAATAAAAATATGAACACGCGCGTGTTTAAAGTCCAGCGAACGTGATCTATTTCCATTCCAGCCTTGTTGGATGGAAATTTTTACCTTTATTTAAGACAGTACACAATATACATTGTTGTAATTTATATTAATTTTTAATTATTGTATAATATAATTTTAATTTTTATATTTTTATACTATAATTCAGTTAGTGTTTTGCTCAAACGTAAAGTTTAATTACTATTAAAGGAATAAAGATAAAAATATGAAAATAGTACGCAATGAAATAAATTGAGTATAAGTAGCCTTTTTTCGAATATGTAGGATGCTAATTTACTTCGTCATTTAAGTGAAACATATCAGCTTGATCAAATCGCTGGTGTCAAGCATTAAATATTTGTAGTGGTTTTAAACTACTTTTATTTAAAAATTATATAAAAAATGTAAATCTAATTGCCTGCTAAAAAGATTATATTTGTCTATTTTTAAACTTTTGCAATGTCTGAGTCAGTGAGTAAGTAGCACGCGCGAAGTTCAAAATTGATTAGTAAAATCTTGAATAGACTGATAACCTCAGGGTCAACAACAAATATACAAACTGGGGTAACCATTTATTATAGGTATATATACATATTTTCTTATATTCGTACATGTACATATGAATAAGTATTCATACAATATATATATTGTATATTCTCATTAAGTACCCTGAAGCAAATGTCAGGCGCCTTAGCACTCAGCGTTGCGCTCAGTTATCCTTCTCTTAAGCTGAATAAATAAAGCAAAGATCAAAGAAACTCATATTGTGTAACAGTTTATAAGAAGATAATAAGTTCCAAATAATAAGAGCTGAATGATAAAAACCTGAAACCTAATATGGAGTTACACTCTAATGACTTTTTCATCACTAATTTTGGACAATTAAGTCATATTATGCAAAGTTCTATGCTATAAACATTTCATATATGCTTCTTATTGACTTACAGTTACACGATTATATTGAATGAGTCAATTAAAACTACATGTATTTACTAGATTAACACTATCAATAGTAAGATTGGTATTATGGGTGTTTCAATGCACATATAATGAATTTATTATTTAATTTCGGCAAATGTGTAAGCGATAAGTAGTTCTCCTAATAATTTATCCAAAGGTCAAGATGCTTACAATTAGATTTTCTTCAGGGTAGAGTTTCTTAGGCAAATGTGTATGTGTAACTTCTATAGACGTAATTAATAAACTAAATTGTTTTTTATTTAATTAAAGTATTTGACTCTGCCTTAACACTTAATCTAAGTTGTCATAGGTCTGAAAATGTTGTCTTAAAAAATCAGTGGAATATTAATTAAGTTGATCAATAAAAACAAAGCATCAGAATTTATGTTCATATGCCTCATGCTCGGAGTTGTATTATATAGTTCTACAAAAGTTGTTTGGGTATACAAGAGTCAAGAATAAAATAAAATACACATCTTTAATTGACAAAATAATCAATAGAAATTGACACTCGTAGAATAAATCATAAAGCGTAACTTTACTTATTCGATGTTATCAAGCAATATGATCATGAGCTATTTGTTTTAGGTTTAGAAGTTTATCACTGACTTCAATGTAATGATTTGAAGTTATTAATTAAGGTATATACAGCTACAAAATACTTATAAAATTCATTACAGATCGCGATCTTTAGGTCCATCCAACACTTCGAACCCTCATTAAATTCAGATACTTTTTGAAATTTCTGTACAATTTCCAGCAGATATTTTGAAAGAAATTTTGTAAAATAATCTTAAAAATATATATAAACAAGTAAAAAATTTCCAAATTCTGCTATACCTATATAGGCGCATAAATCCTACTTAGGAGTTTGGTTGAACATCTCTTCCTATTTGTGGAGTGCTTTCCAATGATTTCCTCTGAAAGAATTGCATTATTTATTTAAAGACTACATTTAATGAATACAAAAGTAATTCCAAGTGGCTGAGATATAAATCCTCATGGTTTATTGACGAGGATCCATTGAACTTACCGGCAGTGGTCGAGTATGTCACGCTTTAATAGTATAATCCGAAAAGTCTCAAACGATTGAATTTACATGCCAATTTGTATTTATTAAATATCATAAACAAATATATCTGCTGAACTTTTCAAGTAAAACTGGTACTGGTACTGGTTCCTAAGAGATAATGGAACAAGTTGAAGTCATGAATTCACTCATTCACATTAGTAGTCGTTAGTACGAGTAAAGTAAGAAAGAATAGGCTTTTTTCTGTATTATTTCGTAAATCGAGTTGTACTAAAATCTGGCACCGTAAAATTTTTTACAAATGACTTCTGTCTCCTAACTTTGCAAACAGGGATGTTAAATCATTTACTTATACTTCACATTCAAAAGACGTTCAAGTTCAGTTTTTACACGTTTTTACTGATGATAGAAACAAGTAATTTTTCTCGATCAAACCTTTTCCACAAAAAAGGTATAAAATATTTCATTCAGTATTGCTCACAATTTCGACACTTTTCTGTATGCAAATATGTCTTTTGAAAACTGTAGTATCCAAAAAATTTTCAACTTAAAAATCGAAGTGAAGTCTTCCCCCAAAATCGATTTTCGTAAGATCTTGATTAACTTACTATTTATATTTCTGGTGAAATATGCACTCGGTTTGATGTCTACTAGCATTCGTGTCCTTAATAATATATAAATATATATGGATATAAAAACCATTAATGCCACAATTTGAATTTACTTTCAATGAAAATCTCATTTTAAATGCACCAAATTGGGAGCTAACAAGCTTTCAAAACCGACACCGCGCCAAAACAAAGGAGGAATGATGAATGTCCCACAAACTCATTGGTCCCTCCCTGCGTAAGTGCGCCGTAATTCCAAACCTTCATAGACACGACCGCTGCTTATTTCGGGACATTAAAAGTAAACTCGTAAAAACATTTACAGTCGACACTAAAAATATTCAACCGCAAGTCACTTCTTTCGTTTGTCATCAAAAAAAAACGGGGCGACTCTATTAGCGCTACGTCACAACACACGCTTAAGTACATAAGTATATACTTAGGTACTTAGCGGCTGTGCCCAAATGATGAATGAAATACGAAGTCGCACTTGAAATGTCGCAAAAAACTCAAAAAAAGGGAAAAAACTGCAAAAAAATGACAGCGCCGCAAACTCAAAAAAAAGCAAAATAATAAATAAATGACTGTTAGGTAAATAGAGAGACAGTTTCTCAGACAAATGCACAAAAACATTGACGGCGCTGACAATAGGCGATTGTAAACAATAATAAATATTTAAATATAGAAATGCGTGATTAGATTTAATTTACACCAGCACGGAGTGTGCTCCTCTGTGGAACAGTGTGTCTCACAGCAACAACAGCAATAAAAACAATGGCGAAAATCGAAATGACAATAATAGACATAAATTCGAAAGATCTACAACCACAACGGAACTGAGTCGATCTTTGAAGAGCACAACTATTGTAAATAATAATAGGTATTTCCGCACCGAACCGCACCTTTGGGATGTGGGTTTACTGACAGCACCGCGCAGGGTGCGCTCTTTATTGCTGTGACTTTTGTTTGTCGTTGAACTTGACATTCAACTCATTGTTTGTGAGTGATGAGCGGCTATTATTAGCTGGGTTAGTGGTGTTGAGGCGTCGGATTAAGAAAGCATTAAGACCTGACCTTAAGAGCAGCGACTTACCTTGACTTTGGCGATACGCCTATATTATACTGGAAAGTTCAGCACACATAATGCATACGAGTAGGTTTTAATTATTAGACTTAACAAGTTTACGTGCGTGTTATGATGAATATTATCCGTTCAGAGTCAGCTTAAACCTTCTATATTCTACGAAATGTTAGAAAACAGAGAAGCGAGAAGAGGAGGGGCAGATAGGCTAAGTATATGAACGTGAAGTCCCATTTGTATATCATAGGAGGTTAAGTTAAAAAAAATTAAGAATTGGTAATGCAGGAATGCTGATAAATACTTTCCAAAGATTTCTAGTTTTATCAGCTTTTCTATTTCCGTATGTATCTAACTGACGGAAATCTCACAAGATTTTTGTCTATAAGAATGTAGAGTTTTACTATACAAGTAGATGTTTCGTGCAAGGCCAAGGAAAATGCTATAACGATGCCCCAGCCATCATATTTACCAGACATTGCTCCGGTTGAATTTTTCCTAATTCCCAAGAATAAAGAGAACCTTAAAGATTAAAGATGGAAATCCCTGAAAGCGGTAAAGCCTCTCTTAAAACTTGATATTGATAAAAGAAGAGTGTATGTAACTCTCTTAAAAATACTTTTAAGACGTTTACGATAGGATATTTGAGGTTTCCGTCTTTATAGATGCGATTTGAATCCGGAAGTCTTACTATAACTAGATCGGAAATGAGATTTTCAATAAATATATGCATAGAAGATAGGAAATCTGTGAAGATGGTGACTCCTGGATGGAAGTTCCAAGAGTACCTGTAAAAATTCTATTGCTTTACCAAAAACATACGCTACATTTTGACCCTCTCTTTTATGTGTAATAGCAACTGCTCGAATTTTCGACCGTGGTTATTATTTAGAGACATGTCACTAAAAATAATATTTTTGTATGTGGCAATATTTTCCCAACGTTGTTAATATATTTTTTATATTTTAGAATTATTTAGCCTTTACCCTCTTTAAAACTTTTTACATACTCTATATTAATGTTATTTTCTCTCAAATTCCAGAGAAGACATGCAAAAAGTGAATATAAATTTTTACGACAATCAAACAGTGTCATATCAGCACAAGAAAATTCTTCAATTCGTGCCCGAATTGAGTATAGACAAGAATACCCCGATAGTCACACCCAATATTCCTTTATTGGTGAGTACACACAATACATAATAATATATACAAAAAGAAAAGTTAACTTACTCCCTCTCCCGCAGACACTTACTAGTCTCAGTCCAAAATTAGGTTATCTGCTGTCAAAGACGATTTCTGTAGTGTTGACCGCAGCCAAGTTCAAGCCTTTCATCAACGTGACTGCCGATCAGTTGGTGTTCGGCTACGATGATGCGCTCGTCAGCTTGGCACATCGATTTTATCCAAAACACATGCGTCCAATGGAGCGAATGGGACTGCTACTTGGGGTAAGTTTAAGAGAAAAACTGAATAAAATGTATTATATCGAATCATTCGGCATTAAAAAAATTGTTATAAGTGTATTAAATGGTATCCCCTAAAATTTTTTCAATTCAGCGCAATGGTACACTAACCGAAGTCTCAACAATCAAAACTGGTCTTCAAGGCATGGAAGAATTCGGCTACATAGACCGTCTCAATGGACTCGATCACCTGCCGCATTGGCATAAGCCACCCTGTAATCGTATAGCCGCTTCCGAAGGTTCCTTCTTTCCACCACGTGATATAACAAAAGCGGATACTGTTTATGTTTATGACAAGGATTTATGTCGCGTCATACCTCTACAGTACCAAAGAGGTGTAAAAAAAGATGGTTAGTATCTTGCTGGAATTATCTCTCTGATCGTGAATTATTTTTAAATTTCCGATCTTTCTTACTTTGCAGGTATTGGCGCTGATCTGTACATCTTACCCGAAAATAGTTATGGCGATTCTTCGAATAATCCGGAAAATGAATGCTTTGATTCAAGTGATTATGAACCGATAAAAGGCCTACAAAATATAAGTCCTTGTCAGTATGGTGCCCCTGTCTACATATCAAACCCACATTTTTATCAAGCCAATGAGTCGTTATTACATTCGGTTGAAGGGCTCAAGCCGAATAAGGAGGAGCATGAAACATATTTCAAAATACAATCGGTAAGTTTTAAGGTAGAAATAAACAAAACCGTTAGAAATTTTCATTACCGTATCCCCGTCTCGGTAGTCTATCACAATTTTTTCCCAACATCAACAAATTTTGGTGGCAGACTTAATTTGTGAGATGATGGATAAGTTCGAGACATAATTTTCCGATGAAAATTATAAATACCCAGGTCTTTCTCTACATAATTGGTGATAAAAATTACATAACGGTATTTAATTCAAATCTAGGGTTAAGAAAATAAACGACGCAATTTTTTTAAGACATTTTTTTTTCTCATATGTTTTTCACTTGAATTTAAATTCTTCTCTTTTTTTCAGAAACTGGGTGTACCACTGGAAGGCAAAGTACGTATTCAGCTCAATCTCAAAGTGACGCGAGCGAAAGACGTGTATCCAGTTAAAGATTTTCGAGATTTCATCTTTCCGGTTATGTGGTTGGAAGAAGTAAGATTTTAATAGCATTAAGGGACAATATTATATAGAGAAATATTCTCGTAGATCAGCATAAAAGTGCTTTTTAGGGATAATAGGCATATGTAAAACTTGAGCTCTCGCGAATCGGACCAGTGTCAAAGAGAGCGACCAGCCATTTTTTTAGATATTTCAAACAAAATAGTATTACAATTTCTCAAAAATGAGAATTTTAATAAAAATTAAACTAGTTCAGTGGCATCCGGTGCAAATCGGATACTCTCATAATCAAGTTTTTATCTCTCATAATCAAGCTTTTATTTAACGGTACTTATTTATGCAAAATTTAAGAAGATGTAATGATTGGTTATATTTTTTAATATTAAATCTTACTCCCTACATATTAAGTAATTCAAATAACCTAGAAATGCTTGAAATCTCTTACTATTATTTGACAATTGGGGACTATTGACATTTGTAGTCTTCATTAATGCATTTAAGAATGAAATAGAAATAGTTATTAGAAAAATTGAAAAGCTCACAGCTTGTTTCTCAATATTTTTAAAATAAAATGTTTCCAAAACTAAAATTTTCCACTTTCCAGGGCATCTCCGAGTTAACACCAGCCATCCGCCGCTGGATCTACTTGGCCACCGTATTTGCGCCGATCATCATACCGGTCGCCTCGTATCTGATGATATTCGGCGGTGCACTTGCCATTGTCTTCGTGTTTGTGCGCGCATATCAGAACTTTGTGTTCGCACGCGATCCCACATTGGAGATACTCGAGATGGGCCGACGCTCGCTAAGGCGTGGCAGCAGCTTTATCGCGCAACATCAACATAAATTTATGCACCGCGAAAGTTATACGCTGCTAAAGACGGTACCCAGCGACCTGCTGGACGACAAAGAGGACGCGATACCCATAATGACAAACAGTTCATAGTATTCCTAACAGCACAAAAGAAATAAGCAAAAACAAAGTGAATGAAGCTGAGTGTTCTGCTGAGCATTCGATCGGGTCTCATGAGTGATTGCGAATTTCGTATTGAATTTAGTCTTTAATTAGTTAGTTGTCGGTTTTAAGCTAGGTAGGTGTGAATGATTTATCTCAATGTAAATATGTATGTGTGATGAAATGGCGTAAAATCAAAAAGCAACAACAAAAAACATAAATATGTGATCTAAGTTATTACTTTTAAACGTGTTTGTGAGGGTTTTCTTTTTCAGACGGATGTTTTCTATGTGAATCGTTTGATGTTGGTGAGCGCGTGTCTGCGGCCCTTAGTGCGTTTTAGCTCTAATATTCCAAACACAAAGAGGAAAAAATTTAACAAAAATCTAAAAACTATAATTTATAGTTAATAAAGTATATATATAATAATTTGGTGTTTAGCTTTCTTCTTCTTCTTCATATATTTGTAATCGCCTTATACAAATTTGTGAAATTCCAGGGTTAGTGGTAGATTTAGTCTAACTGTAAGTAAGTAGATATTTTCAATAAACCTATACACACAAATTAAACAGTAACAATTGAAATGACAGAATTTTTTTCAAATAAAGTCGACAATAAGTTGGTTATAAAACTTTAAATATAAAGCAAAATTTAGTGTGCACAAATAAATTATAAAAAAAAATAATAAATATAAGTTTTCATTCAGCAATATTTTAATAATACACTATAATTTATGACCAATACTTATATAAATTTGAGAAAAATTGTAAAAAATGAAATTTGTGTTAAAAAAATATTTCTTGCCCAAAACCAAAATGTACTTTTAAGAACCTAAGCCAACAAACTATAGATGTAGATATTTTTTTAATTTTAATCAAAATTAATAAAAAATGTGTTAATTCTAAATTTTTTCTTAATTCCGAAAGTCATAATATTTTTCATTCAAAATTTAAACAAAAATTAATTTTTCAATTATTTTTATAAATTTCAAAAAGGATAGTTTTTGATTAATTTAATTTTTTTTTTTGCTATTTTATTTTATGGCAATTAAAAAAATATCTGTACATTTTACTTTTTTCCTCACTTTTAAAAAGTATAAGTTTTAAATACCACGTTCTTAATGTTTTTTTTTTCAATTTCGAAAAGAATAAATTTTTAATTATTTTTTATTGTTAATTTAAAGTTTTTTTGTTTTTTATATTTTTTTTTTCAACTTATAAAGTACAATGTTTAATTATTGAAATTTTATTATTTTTATTTTGATAATTTTTTGAAATTTGTGTATTTTCTAATTTTTTCTCTCAATTTCAAAAATTATAACTTTTGCCCAAATTACCAAAAACAAAAATTTACATTTATTACAAAAAAACTAGTGCAACTACATACACACTTCTAATTATTTTAGTTTTTAAACTCTTTGTACATAGCTATTTATATACTTACTTACTTCCAATTTAATAATTAATTTTGTATGTGCGGGGGTAGTTTATTACACTTAATCTTAAGCATAGCAATTCTAATTATTATTGACTAGTTGTAAATTAAATGCATTATGTTGTAAGCTGGAAATTTATTATAATAACAATTTTCAAATATATTTCACTAGTCATTTTTACGACACAAAAATGAGAGCAGATTATTATCCGTAAGCAGTTTTCTTAGTATTTAGCTATTTTAAAAGGTTTTTATACAAAAATAATGTAGTTCGAATATGCATACATAGTCAATTTAATGTCATTTTAAGGAACAAAAATAGGATTGTTGTCGAAATGAAATATTTTGGAACGAAATTGTTATTTTAGGCAAATAAATAAAAATGTAAAGTACGAAAATAATTTACAATTGTTTCATTACTTGCGGGTGGATCTGAGGATGAATCAACAGATTATGAAGCTCTGAAATAAATTTTCTAAAATAGGGAGACTAATTGCCTAAGAAGAAGCATCGATGTAAATATTGGTATTTCGGTGAAGATTCCACAAATTTTAATAAAATTATCATTCATATTATGCTTAACCTTGCTAATTTGGGTTAGTTTAGAGATTAAGGCTGATCGTCGAGACGTAAATCAAACTTGGGTACCAAGGCCTTTGTGGCACAAAAAAGTTATAGGATGAGTTTAAACTTATATATATCGACAAGTCGCCTTAATCCTATCACAAATCCTCTAAACCATTATCTTCTGATTTTAGCTAATTCATTTGGCTGTCAATGGTTTGAGATTCCACAATAGTAACATACGAGGTATGTTCAAAAAATCACGGAAATTTTTAAATTAAATTTCGTAGGTTTGGAGAATCCAATTGTCAAACCTTTTTTTATTATGTTACTATACATACATTCCCCTGAAGTTCAATCAAAATTTCAGCTGTATTCATTGTTTACTTTGCCAAGTGCAGCCGCTAAAGGTAGACGTGTTTTAATAAGCTTGGTGATTTTGTTTGTGAATTCTTGGTTCTAAAACAATACTGTAACAATGCTCCAGCCTCCATATTCGCCAGATATGGTTCCGTGTGACGTTTTCCTATTTCCATAAAGAAAGAGCACCTTAAAGAGCCGTCGTTTTACAAGCATACTTATAGATGACATTAAAAGCGCATCACTAAAAGCGCTAAAGGCGATCCCAAAAATCGAGTTTGAGAAGGGTTTCGATGATTGGAAGAAGCGCTGGCATAAAATCATAGTATTAATGTAGACAAATAAATAAAAATTTGTTATAAAAAACGATAATTCCCAATACTTTTGAACACACCTCATATGGCGCTTCTTGTCTAAAATTATATGCTCGTACATTCGTTTTACTTTGTGCTGAATATATCGGTCAATATGTGAAAAATTTTCATTAAATTAAAATCTTTGTTTCTTTGAGCAAAATTCATTTTTACAGCAGCTGGAAAAAACGGTAAGGTGAGTCATTGAGCGGATTCGCAAGTCTTATGCAGCTGGGCCGATTCGATAAAACAATAAAATACATATAATAGGCATGAAGCAGATTACCATATACCGTGAAAGCAAATAATAAGAAGTAATTCTAAATGGCAGTTCTGCAAGGGGACCAGACATTAATTTCGAAGGAGCTCGATATTTCCAGGAAATTTTCGGGAGAGGAAAAGATATCCTAAATAGGCCATTATTAATATCTGACTCATCTGGTTTGAGTTGCACCAGAATATGAAAAACATAAAAACAGGAAACCATTTTCAAAAGAGGCACTATTAACTGATGGTTCAAGTCCTGTGACTTTAAGTAATGAATAAAAAATATTAAATCATTAATTAAAAATGTTAAATTTAACTAAATTCTTTTAAACAAAAAATTCGACTGACTTTTTAAAATATCTGATATTTGGACTTGAGAATTTTTGATTGAATAAAAGAAAAATATTTTAAATTAAAAAAAAGAATTGTCTTTGGCACACAAAAAAGTAAGTTTACACCAAATTTCGTTAAAAAAAAAAATTTCGTTACAAAAACTAAAGTAAAAACTCCAAAAACTTGGTTATTTTAATTTTTCGCATAAATTTCAGGTTATGTGAAAACAGTGTAGATACAAAAGTTGTAGATCCTTTCATTACTTACTACTTTGCTTTTGTCTATGGGACTCATAGTTTGATCAGAAATCGAGATAAACCGTTTTCAAGCTTTAAAAATTCAACCACGCCCTTTCACTTACTTTTTCCGACCTCAGATCGCACGAAAATTATTTTTCTTTTCATCAGATAGGTTTCAAACTATTATGAATTTCTTTAATTTTTTAAAATTATTTTTAAAGGATTCTGCACTAGTCTATTAACCTGTTTTATTTGTATGCATTGATAAATCATGTCTTTTAATTTCATTTTAAGTATTATAAACTACCGTTAGGTTATTAGTATGCAACCTGTGGCGAGAGTACAATAAAAAATCTTTGAATATTTCAAAAAACAAACATGTGTAGGCACATATGCATATATTTCTTGAAATCCTAGAGACTTTTTAATTAGTTAATTTCAGTAGAAAAATAAATTGCTTACTGTAAGTTTAATAAACAAAAAATAGTAGTTTTCTCAAACAGTAATTAATCTTTGAAATTCTTCTTAGAAAAACCGATTTTATCTAGGAAAATACGAGCCACGAGCCAACAGCGTTGCCATTAAGGTAACAATTGAAAACAAAAAAATACTCAAATTCACCTGTGAAGCTTCGCATTTTGTGTTTTTGTTTTTGTAACTTTATGAAAACTGCAGTTTTACGCCTTAAAGGTTTCCATTTAAGTGAATGTCAAAAGCAGATATTGCATAAAACGAAAATGGAATGTTACTACTACAAGCGCACAAACACAGACACACACACTACTGCAGAAATATGCACATAAATAATGAATGTGTGTGTGAGCGCATATATGTGTTTGTTTGTATTGTATGCAAAGAAAGTTTTTCTTCATCTTGAAATTCACTGGAAATACAGTTAGAAATAAAAGCGCACAACAACAAGTCGTAAATTGGTTGCACTTTCGCAATATATTTGAGTGAGCGAGTGCTTGGTGCTGACCCAACAGCTGATAAGTGCATCATATATAAAATTTAGAAACAATAATTCTCATTCAACAACATACAACAAAATCGCGTCGAACGCCGTTATGTGGTCGAGAGCGCAAAAAAAAATGTTAATTTATCGTCACTAAAGCGGAAAGGCAACAAGAAACAAAAATAAAAAAGCAACGAGCGAAAAGTAATAAAACAAACAATTGTAAACATCAAAAAGAGCGTCAATCAAAAGCTTCAAAACATTTCACAGTTCCTTCAAATTATAGTTTCACACAATAAAACCGAGAGAACCGAACGAAAAAAAACGCTGCAAATCACGACCACACACGCAACACAAACACACTATCGCAGTCAAAGAAATTTGCTACGTTCGCTTACCCACTGACCAGCGACCAGCGACTCCCTTTTAACAACCCTCCCACACCCATTAGCGTTGCTGCTCGCCATGTGGCAGCAACATATGACGGCGCTTCGGCATACTGCGGCATTCGAGCTTCTCCACCACATTCAAGATAATGCTGAAAAAATACACACTCAAAGCAAGGAAATATATTGGAGACCCCCCAGCCTGTCTATAAATACAAGCAGCTGGTAAGCGGCGAACGTAATTTTCAAGTGAAGAAATGTGCTGCCACGAGTTAAAAATTCGTAAATCATATTTCAACAGGCCAAATCAAAGCGGCTAAAGTGGAGTACTTTTGTAAACGGAAAATGGAAGAAGAGGGCGGGGGCAACATGGAAGCAATCAGTGCCACAGAAAAATGGCGCACAATACCAGCATGGAATGAGAAAATACGAATAAGCACAAAGCAACGTTATTGCGGTACTCTCACACACAGTCAATACAACTGACCTCACAGTGGGGAGCGGAAGTTGTACAAAACAAATTTAAACAATTGGAGATTTGGTGTGGAAAAGAAGCTGTATAAAAAATACCAAAAGGAAACAGATTTTAAATAAAGAAGTAAAAGAACACACAACTGTTGGTTGAGGCTTTAAGTTTTAAGCAGGAGGAAAGATCGTTTCGGGATAGTAATTTCTTACGACAGAGATCCAATAAGTACTTGGCCTACAAAAAGAAAACATAAATTTAGAAAACTAACATAACATATGTTAGTCTCCTTTTAGCTCGACACACTCGACCCAACGAAGCTACAAGCTACAAGTTCTTTCACTCGTCTGGTGCGCATAGTAGGCGTTCATGCTGGCGATAACCACATCACTCGAATACAATTTCTGCCTGGCGAGTGATTTTTTCAGGTTCAAAAGAAGTCGCCATAGGCCAAACCTGGGGAATACGACGCATAAGTTAACAGTTCGTGAACGAGTTCGACCAATTTGATCGTAGCGACGGCCAAGGAATGTAATCCAGTGCGTTGTCACGATGGAAGAGCACTTTTTCCTCGTCAAATGAGGTCGTTTTTTGTCTAATTCGGCATCGGATAGCCTAATAATTCGGCGTCGAATCAGCATAGTAAATCGGCATACTAGAGGCATATGACCGTTTTGATCACACCTTGTGAAATCCAGAAAGCAGTGGCCATCACCTTTTCCGCCGGATCGGACAGTTTTGCCTGACTTTGAAGCTGATTCGCCAGTTGAAGTACATTGTTTCGATTATTTCTTGATCTCTGGTGTATACTAGTGGAACAATGCTTCATCGACTGTCACCAAAGGATGCTGAAACTCCTTCGGATCACGCTTAAAGTTTGAAGTGAAGCAGTTTCATTGCAGCACTTGTCATCCGAAATGATGAAACTAAACACTAATCAGACCGCACTTGCATTATTTACAAGTATTATAAGTAAAGACTCAGTAAAATTCTTATGTTTAAGTTAGTTACAAAAATACCCTATAACCCAACCTCATTTCAATACAAGTATCTGTACCTGGAAACCTTGAAATATTTATGTCAAGTACCTTGAGGTTCGCGCGGCAGATTTTTTACTTTTTTTAATCTTTAGTGGTCAATCTATTTCACTTCTAATTAAAATTAATTACGCACGCATTGTAAACGATGTTGTCCAAATCTGATGTTTCCCTTATGCTCTTTGCCATTTCAGTGGGGAGATTGAATGTGTCAACAACAGATGCTGCAACAATGGAGAGGGATTGTTTATTGTCAAAGGCCGTAATAGCACTTGATTCCAGAACTGCCAATGATTATCTACGATTATCTTTTAATAAAAATTACTTAAACGTTGGCAATTGAGATTTCCGTATGCGGATTAAGTATTACTAGTATTTTTCTCTTCGCTCTATTGACTCTCAACGGGATAAGTTTGATAAGCATATGAAGCAGATTGCCTC